GTGTTTGAACCTACCAGGTACCCACTTTTACTCCTGGGTGGAGAGAGACAACCGTAGATAAAGTGCCTTGCCCAAGGACACAAGCGACTTGCACAGCGAGAGTTTTGAACCCCCGACCTCGAGGTTGGAAGTCCAAACTAACAACCCATCCATTAATCCATCCGTCCATTTATGAGCCCATCTGTCTATCTATAAAATCTACAGTTATTTGTCCATCAATTAGCGACATGATGTAATTATAACATTATATGTTGTTTTCTCTAACAATATTAAATGCATCCGTATTGTTTCAGGGTCCGATAGCAGCCCTTCCCGTGGCTTATAGGACGACTACAGAGGAGCCAACTTTCCAATCACTGACTGATCCCTCAGACGGTATAAACATGTATATTATTACGCTTATACCATATACAATGTTTTAGTAAAGATACACAGTGGACATGATAATACTTGAATTTAGTAGAGAACATTGAGGGTCCTAGGTGATTAACAATTTATAGGCCTATGTAGATGAGGAGTACAGTATCATAGCTACTAAGTGCATGTGGCTAAGATACTGTACCAGAAAGGTTACCTAGTGGTCGGGCGTTGGATGGGCGTTCGTTTCCTGTCAGAAACACTTTCAGTATTTGTTCGCCAGTATTTCAGATATTAAGTATAATACTACAAAAAACGTCAGGTTGGAAAAAAAAACCTCATTCTTACATATTGAATGTTTTTATACATTATTTAAGCGTACTGTAGAATACATCGTTTCCAAAACAATCAGGAATTCGTAATTCCATTTACAGGCTCAAGGATTTTTCCTGATGACCTCGAATGTAAAATGAGTTGCTGTAAAGATTTCGTTAACTTTGGTGAGAAGTGTAAAGAGATTGGTATCCAGTACGTCGGAATCTGCTGCGGCAACGAATCCAAATTCACCCGTAGCCTCGCTGAATCCTTAGGACGTAAACCAGGGGCGTCACGCTACTCGACTGATATGTCTCAGCACTACACGTTTGGCAATGATCCTTCGTTTAAGAAATGCTACACAGTTGAACTCAAAGCAGCGATTTAATTTGAGATTCATATTAAGCCTACTAGATATTGTCCCAGTAATGAATATCCGCTAAGGCAGTTGATTTATATAGCCATAAAAGTTCTTCATTTTTGTTCAATTACTTTATTAAGTCCAATGACTGTGAAACAAACCCGGGACCAGGGTCTAGGGAACCCCCAGGACTAAGAATATGTCAGTACATAATTCACTTTATACATTTTCGAAGTGTGAAAAACAAAATTACTGAACTTGCAGTGTACTTAGAAACACACAATCCTGACCTGATTATAGGTAACCAATGGCTCGATGAATCCATCTTTAGCTCAGAAATGTTCCCAGCAAATTATTCTGTTATTAGACAGAACGCCAAACTCCAAAGGTAGTAGTTACGGAGGTGTCCTTATCTCTACTAGAAAGGGTATTCCTGTCATCCATAAATTAGGTTTAGATACTGACGTGGAAATTGTATCATATGGCAACAGATTGATGTTTTCCGAGCCAAACCGCCTAGTGCATACCTAATTAGGCTTCGAGATTCAAAATGCGTGAGTATAGTCATGTTTGGATTGCTGGGGACTTTAACATGGATGCAACTGATTGGCCTAATCAAGATTTGGATTCTGGTGTACCATGTTCGTACCCGACTATATGTAAAGAAATGATAGATATTGTCAACAAGTTTGGACTGGAAGAGATGGTCACAAATCCCACTAGGATCAACGGGATACTGGATCTGTTCTTTACTAATAAACCAGATAAATAAGGGACACGATGGTAATTGTTGAGATTATAGTTGCTAGGAAAATTCTTTTATTTGAAAAAGAAAAGCTATCATATATACGATTTGATAAGTAGTGATTGTTTTCGAAAATAGAACGGAACTTTAAATGAAAAGAAAAATAGGACAAATAACCTCTGGAACGAATTCAAAGAGTAGAAAATTCCCCTCACCTCCAATTATTATTACGGTTATAATATTGTGAAATAAATTGATATTGGTTGTACAGTATAGGCTTTAAGCATAATCTGTATCGTATGTCCGTATAATGCACTGTAAAAATATGCAAACTGTCTAAATAACATTATTTAAACTATTATTAACTATTATTATTCTCTCATAGTAGGTTCTTTCTTACATGTTCGCAACTTTGTATACAACTTTATCATAATCCTAAGTTGTAAGGTTGTTGTATTTATATCATACAGCTTAGTATTCTTATTCTTATTCTCTAAATTTATCTTATCTATAGAGTCTTGTAAGTTGCTTAAAATCGCAACTGCATTTTGTGTGCTTTTGCATCAGCAAATACGTTAATAACATGATCAAAGTTAATGCTTCAATACTAAGAGTGTCAAAGCAGATAGATATCTCTTGTCCCATAGTGTCTCTGAGAATGGCAGGATGAGCTTTAGCTTGCTGAGTGAGCACTCACAACTAGCGATTGAAATACTGTACGGTAGCTGCTGTCAACATGATTTGAATTGCTACTCGCAAGTTCGGAAAAACGTTCTCATCACCGTACTGTACGATAAACTGCGTTTGGGATACTGGTGTTTGTTCTACTTTTCAACAGCATCCTGCAAATTATTACTTCATTATAGGCCTACAGCTCCTTGCCAACTAAGCTGGTATTTCCCACCTTTCGAAACCTACTGGCTTGGAAGTGTATACTGAAATACCCAAAATTTCCGTGACATGTGTAGTCATTACAGAACAGGATAAAAAAAAGGAGAGAAATGGCCTTAAAAGAAATCACAATCTATAAAATTGCCAATAAAATTAACTACATTCAGATTCTTTAACTGGAAAATATTCATGTCTGACGACATACATCAATTTCGTAATATTTTTCTAAAAAGTGCATATTTTTTTTACTCGCTCTCCTATTTCAGCGCCCCAATCCCGGCGCCCGGAGCACGTGCCCAACCTTGTCCCCACCCCTATCTACACCACTGTAAGTTCACTGAGCCTGATAATCAGATGATGATATTATACGAATAAAGAAACATAAGAATGTTAAAATTAGCCTACTGTCATTAATGTCTACAGTTTACATTAACTAGTTCTTTCTAATAGAAAGTAGAATGCTGCGAGGTTTTGTAAATGTAGTGATATCATTGAAATCTTTTTTCACTAAAAACTAATCACTGAAATAGTTCCCACCCACTAAACGCATCTTTTACTTGGCTACCCTCGGGTAAAAGTTTAAAATCACAAAGCTGTAGACAAAATAGATATATCAATTCATTCGAACACTAGCCATTAAAATTCTTAATCAAAATATCAAATAAGTTTCAGGGCCTAATTATAAATATATTTTTGTTGCTGTTTTTTTAAATTATTATTAATCCTGCACTTTGTTTTGCGATGTGATGCACCAACTGATTTTCTGAGAGGACACAAATAGAGAATCTTGAATCTTGAATTTTGAAAATCATTTGATTGTGTTGCAATTTCATCGTCTTTCTGCGATGAAAGTTGGCAAAAGTGCATGATTTGGGGATGATATATGATATGAAATATTCTGATCAATTTTTAGAGAATGTTCAAAAATAGAGGCATTTTACAATAAACAAGAATATTTATTTTGAATTTAAGCAAAATGTGTATATTTATATTCACACAAAGACATACCCTTTGCAAAAGTGTAATTTTTACAATAGTAACTCAACAAAAATCATTAAACAAATGAAAATTCGTTGTGTTATAGTGACTTTATCAACAATATTGCTATGTTAAATTAATTAGTCCAGTGCTGGATATTATTAAACGTAGAGGATATTAAGAACAACTAAACCATTCTGTTTGTAATCATGCAATGGTTTTGTCCACAAGATTGTCATTTGTAGATCAAGGATAATGGGATATCTTTGCAGACAGTTGTTAAGGCTCGGCATTGTGGTGTTGAAAGTATTTCCATGTGCCTGCAAGCATGTGCTGCATGAAATCCATCTTGACAATCATTTTGCGTTAAGGACACACGGTTGTTTTACCTTTTTTCAATTGACCTTTGTGCCACAGCAGATGTAACAGGCTTTGTATTTGGAAATTTGTGCAAAACCACAAATACCGTCATGGAGCTTTGACTGGGGTATTAATCCGAAATATAAAGCTAATAAATCAATTTTGTCATTTATTTTAAGCTCAAAAGCTGCGCCACACAGGGGTGGCACCATGATTTGAGTCCACTGTCCCTGAGCAGGGGGCTGTGGGGGGTGGGGGCGACTCCCTACGAGAGCGTAGGTTGGCGTAATTGGGCGTCGCTCAAAATCTCACGGAAGTTATACGGGCGAAGCCCCTGGAAACTATGCAAAAATAAAAAAAAAATCATTCATATTATGTATGATGATTACAGTATTTAAATTGTAAACTACAAATTACGACGACAAAAATCAAAAACATCAAGACAATATCTAATCATAATATTATTGCTAGAACCAATAACTAGGCTCAGCCCAAAAGTAGGCACCATCTATAGACCTATGACGGCTTATGCCTATCTATGATGGGATGTATCCCCTAGGAACTACCTACGGTACTTTACGACTGAAAGAACGTCACTATTGGTCACTATAACTCTCATGACCTTGATAAAATTCGGTAAGGGTCAGGGGACACCCCCACATTTCAAGGTTTGGGGGGTATCATCAATTGTCAATTGTCCCCCTTATTTTTTCACCAATCTTATAGTTAAAAACCCCGCTGTTAAAAGCGAGTGGAAAGAACAACAATTAAAAATGACTGCCATGAATTTCTCTATTCACTTGTAATCTGTTCCCTGTGCTGTGTGAACGGTATAAACCTATTAGGCCAACATTTTTACAAGCTCAAACGTGCACGATTATACTATAAACGATTTATTCCTTTTGATGTATATTATTAAAACTAGTGTTTATAGTGTTAATTATTATCTTCATACAGATTCCTGTATTTTCTAATTTCAATCATTAGCCAAACATGTAGGCCCCTATTTAAATTCTGATTAGTCAATTGAATTTTATATAGCTGTTATTGAACAGAATGGGCATACAACCAACGACACGGATACATTTGTTAGCTATCTATTTCGACTTATTTAAGTAGTGGTACCGCGATTTTACCAACTCCGATGTCAAATTCCCTCAATCTCGCCTTTGACGACATGGTAATGACAAATTCAGTAAATACGGTAACCTTTATGTTTGTAAAATAAAAATGCTAACCAGTGTTTTATGTGTGCTTCCAATCTCCCTAGTCATTTCGATCGTAAATTAGACGAGGCCTAGATGTATTTCAACCCACAATAGTCTAATCCCTATATTATTTGTAAGGTGCAATACAAAAAGAGTTGAAAAAAAACCCTCTTGATTGATTTTAAAAGTACAGTGAATGCACATGGACCGAATACTAAAACAGGCTTTACGTTCACAGGGAGCGGTGTTTGATTCGTTGGTCGACGGTCGTCAGATCGTCGTACGACGCAGGGAGTGTTTTTGTCTGAAACACGTACTCATTGAGTACCTTCCAATTATATAAAGTTAGTAGGCCTAGGCCTATATCAGTTATTATTTATAACGTTACACTTCTGTGTTGTTCCAGGGTCCGATTAACAACCGATGAGGAGCCAACCTTCCAGAGCCTGACTGATCCCTCAGACGGTACTTTCATGATGATTGTACTTAGTAAGACCTCACAATTTGGGTTGATGCATTTAGATTCAATCCTAATCTCAAAGATAAAGATTAACATACAATTAAGACGGGCATACACTGCGCCCGACGGACGTCGGCCGACGCGATTTTGTGGAAGACGCAACGCCATGAAGCGCGCAAGGGATCGTTTTTAATGACGATCCGTTCAGACTGGTCACCGACAAACAACAGACGGCGTCGCGTCGTCTAGCGTTCACAGAGAGCGGAGTTGGATTCGTCGTACGACTGTCACACGACGGAGTAAGTGCTCGGTTTAACATTTTTGAATGAGAGAAAAAAATTCCCCCCCCCCCCCGCCAATTAACACTAGAGAGTTAATTCCAATAATCGGGGGGGGGGGGGAATCATTTAATTTACAGGCTCAAAGCTTTATCCTGAAGATCTCAAATGTAAAATGAGTTGCTGCAAAGATTTCGTTAACTTTGGTGAGAAGTGTAAAGAGATTGGTATCCAGTACGTCGGAATCTGCTGCGGCAACGAATCCAAATTCACCCGTAGCCTCGCTGAAACCTTAGGACGTAAACCAGAGGCGTCACGCTACTCGACTGATATGTCGCAAAATTATATATTCTTCAGTAATTCTCCATTTAAGTCATCAGGTACATATCAGTAAGTCATAATAATGATGATGAACAAACGTTTAAATAAAGCTTAGTTCTACACCATTATTGCCTGCATTTCTAGAAACTTGTATTACTTAGCATTTTGTTTATCTTTTCAGTATAGGCCTATGTGTCAGATAATGCAACCTATCTTCAATAACTAATAACAAATTAAACTATAAATACAGATTTCATGCTATAAAAGTGACTTACTGATGATGAAAACATAAAGATATACAACAAAATCCAACGACAATTTTGTTTAAACTTCAAAAATATATACCAATGGACGAATATTACTGTACTATTATTATAATCATCAAAATCGTACATGAATACAACATTTTATAGGTAAATAGACTCACATTTCTGAGATGCACTTGCACATCTCTTTAAAAGTCGCTTTTGCAATTTTTTTTAAATCAACATTCTTATTGGCGTGTATATGCATAAGCTTCAAAATTTCCAAGTATTTATTTCAGAATTATATCGGCCTGATAATGTAACGTATTATGAGATTCTCATGCACTGTACGTACATTTTACGACCACTTGATGGTGCTTTAGAATATTAAAAGGTAACACAGACTTGAACTTCTCATTGTATTAATGTCTGCATATTCAACTGTAGACATAAATAACTATGCCTATCAGATATCGTCGTCATACATACAAATATATCATTTATTGCGTGTTAAAGAGATAAAAAAAAAAAACAAAAAAAAAAAAAAACAAACAAGAGTATCACATGGACGTGATCGTGGAGCGTGATGATTAGGAACCAATTATTTGTATTGGGTCCGAACCAATGTCAATTCCAATTAGGGCCTAGTTGTTTTGGGTACCATATGGCGCCTACGCATAATTGTGTATTAGACCTATTTGAAAGTCGAACGAATCGATTAATTATCATTCAACAACTAATATTGACGCCTCCCTCTCAGTCAGTTGTTTATATTCCTGTTAAAAATCGTCTTTGGGTAAATAACTGAAGTTAACAAGAATATGTGATTTATGAAACATCTGTAGTAGTATTAGTGATATGGGTTTACTTTATTGATGACGAAGTAAACATACACCCTTGTATTTTACTTGCACACATCACAGCAAACATACACAATAAAGCCTAATATTAATACCCAGTGATATACAAATATAGCAACGTAAAAGAAATATTGCTGTGTTTATGTCAGCTGTTGGTTTTGTCGATATATTTTTTTGGAACCAGTTATAAAAGGAATGGCGTCATTTGACGGTGGCATTTAATCGACGTCTTCTGAGAACTCAATCTGAGAGAAGCTTTACATCACAGTTTCACCATCAAGGTAGGCTTCTAGGGGAATTGATGATTAAATGTCGTGCGCGTGATAGAGTAATGCGTGTAAAAGTGTAACTGCTTGTGAAAAAGTACTGCGTGTATTAAAAGAGTACAGATGTGGGGTAGTACTGTGTATGGAAGAATACAGTACTGCTTGTGAAAGATGAAAGGGTGACTGTGTGTGCAGAATTATCCATAGTACTTCGTGGGGAAAGAGTACTGCGTTTAAAAGACACTGTGTGTGAAAGAGTACTGCGTGTGGATGAGTACTGTGTGTGAAAGTGTACGGTAAGTCTGCGTGTGAAAAAGTACTGGGTGTGAAAAGCACTGCGCGTGAAAAAATACTGCGTGTGAAAGTGTACTGCGTGTGAAAAGTACTGCGTGCAAAAAAGTACTGCTTGTAAAAGAGTGA